TTGTCAGCCGGTATTATAGCCTGGCCCTGCCCGGTCTGCCCCCAGTTCCAGCTCATGCTGGAAGGTGCTGTAGCCTACCCTGGCCCAGCCGGCCCCCAGTCCTGGCCCTAATGTGAACTGGCTGGTGTTGTGGCCTGGCCCAACCTGGTGTGAGCTGCTCCCAGCCTTGGTTCTTGCACTCACCAGTGGGAACTGCATTCTAACAGATGCAGACAGGATGGGTAGGGTTGAGGATCGGGGGGTAGTGGGTGAGACCCATGTTACACATTTTCTTCTTCCCGTATACGAGAGGGTGAAACAAGAGGAGAAACCATGCCTAGCCTCCTAGGCCCGCCGCATTACCCAGAGATTCGGGAACTGGCACCCGATGCCATCCCAGGGTCCCCATTGTGGAGTATTTCCAGAGGGTTCTGTTCATGTTTTCGATAGTTCTGAGATGCTGCTGAGATTGCCACTCCACAGATGAGGCTGTCATAGTCCGCCTCAGTCTCCTTTGGCCCAGCAATTTGCTGTCAAGTTTCACTGGGGTAGTTGATCATTTTGTTCTGCCCTCCATCCTCAGTAAACCAGTGGGTGTTACGGCCTAGCCCAACGCACACTTGGGCGTCACATACCGCAGGGGCCACTCCTACTTCTTAAGCAAACCAGCAGGAATTGCAGTGCCACAGGGGTGAGCCCACATATTCCCTAGAGAATCTGCCCCAGACCTAGTTCGCTGGCATGCTGGTCAGTGTCATGACCCAGCTTAACATTACCCATCCCCTGTTGTGACCTCACTGGCGGGTGCTGGCATCTAACCCTGGCGTGTAGGCCCCCAGCCCTTGCTTTAGTGTGCACTGGTGAGTGGTGGTTGGCAGTGAACAATGCTAACAAGCCCATTCCAGGTTTCCCACATGGATTTGTGCATCAGTTTGACCCAGGAAGATCCTCCAGCTTCCGCCCTCCAAACCACTCAGTCTCAGCACCTCTGCTTACTTGCAAGTACAGTGGCTTTATCGATGTCATTCCTCACCTGCATCATACTCCCTAGCAGTCCTCCCTCCCACACATCCCCATACCCACTTCCCTGATCAGTTCATAGTCGCTGTGCCCGGGAGTGCATTGGTTCCCTAGCCCAGCCTTTTGAAGCCCAGTCTTTCCAGTGCAGTGGTGTGTTGGCCTGGATCTCTGCCTACCCACTAGGGTCTCATGTTTCTGGCATGTATGCTGGCCTGGGACCTTACCCCTCCACACACCCAAGATCCAGGCTCATTCAGAGTTCCCAAGCCCATCCCCAGCACATCAGCCAGCATGCTGACCCTGCTAGCCATGCTCTTCCTGCCCGGGACAAAGAAGGGGGAAATCCCCAGGCTCACTCTGCCTCCCTGTGCATGAGCCCCCAGGTGCCCATGCGCCAGTGCCATCCCCTTAGCCCCCTGCCAGCCTGTATCCCAGGCCCCCTGAGACAAGCCTGCCACCCCCAGGCATGCCTGGGCAAAAGGCGGCCTGAAGTTTTTTTTAAGAGTCAGTTATTTTAGGATCCCATTATATTCTTCAAATTTATTGTGGACTCCAGGAGCTTTTTATTATGTAAGTGTGGTTAATGGTCACAAAATTTTACTGTATTCAAAACTGAAACAAACATTTAATTAATTTTAAACTGACAGTAAAACATCAATACAAATAACCTTTGCAATGGAAATAACTACTTTCCGAATTAAAAACTTGGAAGAGGAGCACTGTTTTTCATATTTGCAAATTGCTTTAATGTCTGAATAGAAAACAGCTGGATTTTCCTATCGGCTACTGCATTCATTTGATGCTCCATCACATCTGGTAGTCTCAGGAAAACCTCAGCACAGTTGTGAGAGGTGTTTTAAATTGATGGAACTAGCTTGACCTGTGGCTAAGCTGGTTCCCTGAAAGGCTCTGGAAAACTGCCTGGCCTTTTCTGGATGGTGCAGGGCTGGCTTGAGCTGTGGGCAGCTGTGTCTTGCGAATCCACTTGAGGTCTGCATTATAAGAAGTCCCAGGACTGGACCTGGGCTGCCCTGGAAGGAGTAATCAGGTCGAGAGTGAAGACACAGCAAGACTGTTGAGAGTATGCAGGACAGTTCCAGGCTGATTGGGCAGTGCAGGAGAATTCCAGGAAGAAGAGTTGTCAGATAGCATAAAGAAAAGGAGTTATTGGCAAGAATGACAGAGACGGGGAAACGGAGGTCTTCCATCTGCTGGTTCACTCCCCAAATGCCCATGCCAGGCTAGAACCAGCAGTAATGCCCTGTGGCTTTCCCAGGTGTGTGGCAGGGACCCAAATGCATGGGCCATCTGCTGCTTTCCAGGTACACTAGCAGGGAGCTGGGTAGGAAGTACAGAGAAGCCAGGGCTGGAGCCAGGCACTCCAGGGTGGCATACTGGTGTGCCAGCTGGCCATTGAACCCCTGCCATAATGCCTGCCTCTATAACACTTGAGAACAAAAGACAGCAATAAAAAAACTTGCCGACTAGGGCCTGGCTCTGTATCCAATCCAGCTCCAGAAAGTCCCAGTGCATGATTGTTCCGGCAGTTGTCTGTCCTGAGCAGCGTGTTGAAAATCTGTGTCACTTCCCACTGCCTTGCAGCCCCTGCCCACCCCACCCTCAGTAGTTGGACAGTAGTTGCAGCCTACAAGCTGTGCAGGCGGGGGTGAGTGTGTGTGGGAGACCTTGAGCTGAAGTAAAGATCACAATCAAAGCCAAGCCCCAAAATCTCTTACTGGAGTTGAGTGAAACCTGGTCAGTTCCTTTATGGGAGTTTCCATATCCTCTGAAAGCTCTCCTGTGACACTGCTGTATTTGGAGATTCTCAGCACTGGAATACAATTGCTAACACCAGCACCCTCTGCCCTCAGCAAGCCCGACAGGCTGTCCTGATTCTCCCCCGCCTGCCTCTGTGACATGATTATCGTCCCAGTCAGTCATGCCCTGGGAACGCCCAGAAGCAGGCTCATCATTCTGTTCACCCTAAAGTTCTGCAACTTCAAAATCCAACTTGACTATCTGTGTGGGAAATGGAGAGGCCTAATCACACATTCAGAATTGTTCTCAATCACAAGAGAGCTACTGTCCAGTCCACCTTTCTTTCTCTTCTTTTTTAAGGTTTATTTTTATTGCAAAGGCAGATATATAGAGAAAAGGAGAGACAGAAAGATCTTCCAACTGCTGGTTTACTCCCAAAGTGGCCGCAAAGGCTGTGGAGCCAATCTGAAGCCAAGAGCCAGGAGCTCTTTCTGCTTGGAAGCCTGTTCAACTATGGATCAGAAAGTCCTCTGGCAGTTTGGTGCTGTCTGCTGCAAGAAGGCAGTAGGTGCCATTTCCTGAGGATTTGGAGGGGGCTTTGTGGAAAGGCATTGATTGGCGGCTCTTGCTTTAGACCTTCACTGCCTGAATTAGTGTCCTTGTATTGGGGCTCACTCCTTTCCAGCATGACTGTCCGGAACATGTACCACCCACGTGGATTTCTGGGTGGTTTTCCTATGGAATCAGTCCTTTACATTGCCCACTTTGGTCTACAAATTCTTCCCAAGCAAAAGTAACCTATACAAGTGGCACTTCCCTAATGGTGGTAATGGGTTAGGGGAAGGGGCAAGCCTGCTTCCCTTCCCTCCCTATTCCTTGTAGGAGAAAGCCTTTAGTATATTTGCCACTGCTGTGTCAGTGGTTGCCTTGCACTCCCTCTCCCACACTCCCCCACCCCCCTTTTTTAAGTTTATTCATTGTTTGAGAAGCAAAAACAGAACAAGAGAGCAAGTTCCCACAGAGGGAGCGAGTCCAGGTCTTACACGTGACTGACAGTCACCCACCTCTTGGGCCATCATTCCTGACTTCCAGGATGGACAGAAGCAGAGATCGTCAGTGGAACAAAGCCAGGACTCCAACCCTAGCACTCTGAAATGAGATTACAGGCATCTCAACGGTGTCTTCACTGCCAGTTCCACTGCTTGCCCCTAATCTGCTTTGTCACTGTTACCAGTCTATTAGTAAGATTTTCTGATTTGTAAAGTTATTTCTGCTACTCACTTCTTGGTTACAAATGGCTTCTGTTTTATGAAAAGAACATTAAGGGTAAGATTTTTTTTTTTCTAGATGTGCTACAGTAGCTCTTCTGGAGATGGCAGCTTTCACTCCCTGTTCTATTGGAAGATCACGTGGGTGGTGACAAGGACTTCCCTGGCAGATTGCTTTTGTAGCTAATCTGTCAGCTTTAGGAAAGAGTAAAATCAAGAATGGGTTTTTGAGTACTGTGCTTGTTATAGGGAATGTAGATTTGATTGTGGATTTCTTCCTTTAAACATTTTGTAAAGTATAGGGGTACTAGATGATAACAAATTGGGGAGTTATTAGATAGGACTTGGTGTTGTCACTCACTTTCTCACCTGTTCTGTTGCTGGCTTCCCCAACTCCAGTGGCATCCTATATCAGGAATTGCTTGGAATTTGCAAATGGTAGATATGGACTTGGAATAGATGGAGCCCTAAGCCTCTGCTCCTGTTGGATCATGCTGGCCCACTGTGCCCCAGCCCCTCTTCATTCCTGCTGCTGACTGCAGACCCACGCCCAGTGTACTGCTCATCTGCCTTAGCTGTCGCTGCCGAGAGCAGCTAGAGAAAGGCCTAAAATACATAAGAACCAGGGTATTGTGTTAGTGTAAGCAAGGGCTCTTTACAGGAAAGTTTTAACGTGATGCCACAGAAACATGTAACAGGTGAGTGCTTGGCCAGACTTTCTGAACATTTCTGGCAAAGCCTTCAGCATTCCCAGTTCTGCTAATGCTACCTTTCAGAGCAGCACTGATGCCCCCAGCCCCCCCCCCCCCCGTGCTCGGCTGCCCACTTTCTAGATCAGCATAGCCCAACTTTGCAAGGGGAAAAAAGGCAAAAATGGGGTACCAGTGTTGTATTTCTCTATAATTAATGCACATAAAAAGCTACATGAACTCACCCAGTGCTGAGTGAATTTCTCAAGCTCTTTATTTAGGCATTTATGTGTGGTATTTTAAAAATTATTCCATGTTGCCTTTATTTTTTAATAATAGAGTTAATACATGTATTTAAGCACAAACATTTAACAGATATAAACTTGTCATATAAGTTACAGTCCATATATACGCAAGATACCCAAGAACTAGAACATTCGTTAAAACTTGTACTGCATGATCTTCCAGAGGGTATTCTCAGACCTTGGGATTGTAACTCTTGTGGCCTTCGGGCTACAGGACCACCCCACCCTGCTCCATTGTTGAGTCTCTCCAGGTCTCTGTTCTTGAATATTCAATCTGTTTGATTATTTCACCATGCAATTTCATGTCACATTGTTTATTGTCTTACAACCTACCTGAAGTTTTGCAGAAATGTAGTATTTTTGTTGCTGTGAAATAATTGTTTGTGCTGCGTAGTTGTTTGGCTTCCCTAAGTCTCTACATCTTTTCTGAAATGTCAAGGGAGCCTGCAAGCACACAGAAGACATAGATTAATGCACGATGGAATTTGGGGACCACCTGTTTTCTGTACAGTCCACAAAATCTGCTTGTATTGACACACTGTTAAATCAATGATTTATGTAATAATGTGAAAGTTAGAGAGCTTCAAGCTGCTGATTCACTTCCCAGATAACCACAACAGCAGGGCTGGGCCAAGCTGAAGAAGGTAGAAGCCAGAAACTCCATCTGGATTCCCACGTAGATGGCAGTGACCTAAAGAGTTGAGGACCGTTGTCTTTTGCCTTCCCAGACCCATCAGCAGGGAGCTGGATTAGAAGTGGAGCAGCCAGGACTAGAACCCACATGGGATGGTGGCACCTGAGGCAGCGGCTTTATGTAGAACACCACAACTCTGGCAGAAGTCGGCCTACACGGGTGTGACCTCTGCAGTTAAACTAACCTCACTGTTGGTCTGTTGTGTTTTTTTAGGTTAGTCTCTTGGCATCGTGGAGTTGGGCGTGACAGTATGGGGAAGCAGTAGGTGGAGGAGAGTACTTGAGTGTCGTCCCCCCCTCCCCCCCGCATATGTGGAGCTCTAGATTGACTTTGCAGCTCCTGGCTTTGACTTGGCTCTAGGCTGGGGAGCAAGTGAGGAGTGAACTAGCAGAATGGAACCCCAGGTCTGTCCGTCTTCCTTTGACATAAAAATCTTTAATACTCTGGAGGGTTCTGTGGTCAGATTATGGTGTAACCAAGTATTGTAGGTGCTAGTGTCTCAACTATAATAGAGAACCTAGTAAGACTGTATACTGAATGAAAATTTAATAACTTGTTATCAGATACTTGATTCTCCTTTTCCCACCCAGCATAGTTTACTGGTTTATCAAGTAAAAAAAAAATCATCTCCATTTATTGTAGTCTTTATTAAGGGCAAGAATATTGAGATACAGATGGAGAAAGACAGCTAGCCAGTGAGTCAGAAAAATGCAGCTGCTTTGTTTAAAATTATTGTCATTTGTCACTGTGCTAAGATTTTTTTTGTAAAATACTCTTATTTTGATGATCTTGACGTGGTTGATGAGGGTTCACAGGGTCAAGGTCTACAGCAAAGTGGGTAAGACCATTGTTTCCACATTCTTTTTTCCTTCCTGTACTTGGAAGGGGAGAGACAAAGGGAGAAGCCACACCCACCCTTCCAACCATCCTAGAGTCCCCAGTATGGGCATACTCCAAAAGCAGTGCTCAAGTGGTTTTGGTAGTTCAACAATTCTGGAATTGCTGCCAATCTCGCCATTCCAGAATCCACTGGCTGACATAGTCCACCTTTGCGTCTCCACTTGCCGAGATTTTCACTGCCAGCACTTGGCTGGGATAGTTGATCAATTTGTTCTGTCCTTTGTTGTGGTACCAGGTGTTTCATGCAAGCTCCAGTGTACTGCCCTATCCTCCATGAGCACCTGGATATTTTGTCCACTGCTCTGAGCCACTGAGGAGGCTCAGCTTTGACACATGCAGTCCATGGTCAAACCATGGAACCTGCAATTCTCTTCATGGTTGGGGTTCAGCAGTTTGGGGGGATTCCCAAAGAAACTTCACCTGAAGTGCTTGCCAGACCAGATTCTTGCGTGTGCTTGCCAGTACCAAGGTCCGTCCCAGACCGTCGCCCCAATCAGCGTATGCATGTGCTGGTGGTTGCAATTGCTGGATCAGTTGTAAAATACTTCCACGAAGCATTACATTTTCTTAGGGGCAAGGAGACATTTGAGAATTGAGCAACATCCTCCTTTAGGAGCTAACAAAGGTTAGAATCACTTGTGCCAGGGACGTTGTTTTCTGCAGTTGAATCTACAGTTGTCACGGGGTGTGGAAGGTGGGAGATGCCTCCATCTAACTGCTGACGTGCTCTTCCGCAGCGCTGGGCCCAAAGGCGACAACATCTATGAGTGGCGGTCGACCATTCTGGGGCCTCCGGGATCTGTGTATGAGGGTGGTGTCTTCTTCCTTGATATCACCTTTACACCAGAATATCCCTTCAAGCCTCCAAAGGTAAGGAACGCGCCATCTATGTTCAAATTCATAAATTCCCATGAAAGAGACTAATGGAGGGTTTAATTTTTAAGCTCAAAACTGGATTGGGGGAAGGCTTTGTGGCCCAGTGGGTTAAGCTACCACCTGGGGTTGCCCACATCCCATACAGAAGTATCAGCTCTAGTCCTAGCAACTCCTTTAAAAAGTGAAAGGGCAGAATTACACAGAACTGGGGAGAAAGAGGAGTCTTCCCCTAAATGGTCCCTCCCAGACGCCAGTGTTAACGGCCCAGGGTGTGCTGAGGCTAGCTACTGAACTCAGGTCTCCATGTGGGTGGCAATGGCGCGGTCGCCTCAGCCATCAGCACTGCCTCCCAAGGTTTGCATCAGCAGGAAGCTCCAGTCAGGAGCCAGGGAGTGCATGCAGGCACTCCCCTTACCGACTTACCTAGTCTAACGGCCAAGCTCTGGGCGTTGTCACTTGGCCTCTCCTACTTGCTCCATTGTGTAAATTCTGGGTTTGGGTGAACAGTATGTTTGCAGGAGCTGGAATAAAACAAAAAGATGGCTCAGATCTTGTGCAGCGCTTTGTGAAGCTACTGTATGCTAAGCATTTTGTTTGTCCTGAAGTACTTGTTACCTGTGTACTCAAGATTTTATATTGTAATGTTAGTTTGAGGTAGTGCAGTACCATCAGCTAACACAAGAGGTCAGCAAACAATTAGCTGTTCATACTTCAAAATGCTCGCGCTTAAAACATTAAACTTGCTTAAAATGAACTTGGGAGGGTATTGAACTTTGTCAACAGACATTACTCTTACAGTGGAATTGGCAATTCCTGATAGAATCTATGAGCACTTTAAAACGTGTTATTTTTTACTTTGAGACAGATCTTCATCTGTTGGTCTGTTTCCTAAATTTGCAATGCAGCCTGGGCTTTTTTGGCCTGCCTGAGCCAGGAATCAAACTCCCTCTGGCCTCTGACGTGGGTGGCGTGTGTCGTAGGAAGCCAAGGGGCCAGACTAGAGCCAGGCACTCCAGGACAGGCATCCCAGGCGACAGTGCCACCTGCCCCACTGAGCAGTGGTTTCGAATCAGTGTTAACTCTTCAGTCATTTGAAAATTTAGTGACAAGTTGTTGCATCTTGTTGGACTACCTTTCTTTCTTTTTAAGGTTACATTTCGGACAAGAATCTACCATTGTAATATTAACAGCCAAGGAGTTATTTGCTTGGACATATTGAAAGATAATTGGAGTCCAGCACTGACCATTTCTAAAGTCCTCCTCTCCATCTGCTCGCTTCTTACAGACTGTAATCCTGGTAAGGTTAATAAGCCTCATTTGTTTTTCCGCATCTGAAAAATACTTGCTTTCCACAGCAAATAAGAGTTTCAAATTACAAAAATGAATTTGCCTTTCAGATAAAAATTCTATTTAAGTCCTGCCCATGATTTGGCATAGGTAGTGAGTCTCCCATCAGGCAGTGTGTTCTAGGAACAGGGTAGCCAACATTTTCACACATGCTCCCTCCTGCTGTTGTCCCCACACAGTTCTCTTAAGCCAGTGCCATGTGCATGCTTCCACCTGCCAGCAGCTGTTCTAACCTCCCCGCTCAGAAATCGCCCCAGACCCGATGTCTGAGGAAGAACTCGATTTTGAAATAGAATTTCTTTGCTGAAATATTCAGTGGGTACTGAATTGAGGTTTCCCTTCCAAAAAGTTTTTCCTAGATTCCCAGTATAAATGTAAAGCTTGTAAATTCCAAAGAAACACTATTCTTAATTGAGAACTAGGTTTTGCGGTGGCAGCCTGGCTTTCTAGCTAAATGGTGTGCCCTGCCAGAGAACCAGTCCAGTTCACACTGCCACCACTGCCGCAGGACTCGGGTGCTGGGAATGCAGCCGACACACAGTAGTCGGGAATTTGAACATTCCGGTTTGTGCTGAGCCCAACCTCTCACATTAAGAGCAGAGAAACTTACTGGGTGATGGTGGTGGCTGAGAGAGTAACGGAATCAACCAGGAAACAGTCGGACCGGTACTAGAGCTCAGGTGTCCGCCTGGGGACGCCTCCTTCCCCTTCCATGCGGTGTCCTGTCAAGTCTGGAAGGAAGACCAGGCTGGCAGTGCAGTGGCATTGCACTTGGCCGTGCACGGCTAGGTTTTCTTCAAAGTAATGCACATTTTTCTCTTGCAGCCGACCCTCTGGTGGGCAGCATTGCCACTCAGTACATGACCAACAGAGCAGAGCATGACCGGATGGCCCGACAGTGGACCAAGAGATACGCTACATGAACTGGGCTTTCATTCTTACGTTATTCGTCTGTCACGAGAGAGAGCTGCTTATGATTTTGAAGGGGTAGGGGAGGGTGGGAGTTGGTAAAGAGTAGGGTATTTCTATAACAGATATTATTCAGTCTTATTTCCTAAGATTTTGTTGTAACTTAAGGTATCTTGCTACAGTAGACAGAATTGGTAATAGCGACTTTTAAAATTGTCATTAGTTCTGCAGTATTAGCCGAGATGTAGAAAAGAATGTACATCTAGACATTTGGGTTTGGTTGCTGGTAGTCTGTAAAACAGCTTAATTTTGTGCAGGTTACACCCATGGCCATTGATGTAAAGTCCCTCTATGGTCTCATATGTTTTTGTTTTTAAAAAAAATTGGAATTTCTTTCCTCTTCTTGGAACAGAATATTGATATTTAACAGAGTTTTTAGAGACTGTCATCTCATATATATAAAATGGACATGTGGCTATAAGACATCATATAGGAAATGAGTAGTTAATGTATTTTATTTTATATGCCAATCTACTTTGTGAAAAGATTAAAAGTTTGAATCAGGACTTAGGAAAACCTGTAGTGAAATACCTTAAGCTGTTACTGTAAAGCGTGGCTAGAAGTTTCTCAGTGGATTGGTTTATGTTGTGGACTACTTAAGTCCTTGTTTGTTACTGTGCTAATAAACGATATTAAAACCACCACCTGATGCTGCCGGGCTTGTATTTTACATCTAACGATATTTAAGTAGGTATCGCTTACTTAGGTTTGTACAACAGAGTAAATGTTGATGTCTTAGAGAAGGTTGCCTGACTGAAGTTTTCAGAGACCAAGTCTACTGCATCTTTTTAAACCCATTTTCTAACTTAGTGGAAGCAAGTATGTGGGAAGTGGGTTCCGTCACAAGGACAGGCAGGTGGGCATCACCTCAGAGGACAGTCTGCTGGTATCGAAGGCTCCCTCCAGTCGGCAGGGCGCTGCTGGGTCTCTCCCAGAGAAGCCTAGCCAGGGCACCAACACAGGTCTAAGACGGGCCCAGTGGGAGAACACCACACTGTAAAAGATGAGTAGAGGAGGCAGGAGTGTGCCTTCATCACTGACTGATGACTTTCTGACCAAAATAAAGGTGTTTGTGCTGAGAAAGCTTAAGGAATGACACAGTACCTGACTCACCATCTTGCACACGCAGCAGCTCCTGGCTGTCACTCACGCACTGGGGCCTCCCAAAGCACTGCAGTTGTTTTCACACATCGTTATTTCAGATTTTACAGTTACAGCAAATAGTTAACCACGTCTGCATCTGAAACCACTAAGTAACTTGTTTCCTTTTGTGTTATTTTGTCAACTTGCTGCAGTTAGCCATGTTGTTAGGGTATTAGTAAAATCTTCAAGGACTGTAGCGTTTTCTTCTGGAAAATGGCATCTTGATGCTGTGAGGCGGTTAGCCATCTTAAGAGGAAGCAAGAAGTTTCGCCTTCTGGTTTACAAAGGGGTCTGAAAAAGGAAGTAGACACCGTGATGAACTGTTTCAGACTATGTACCGCCGCCAAGTCATGCTAGCCATAATCTAAGTAACACTAAATGAGGAGATAAAATGTAACTTGGACACCCAGATTGTTCACCGCTGCTGGTCCAATTCTGATACACAAACTCTGATTTTTATATTCCTGGACAACACATGACTGATGAACTTTTGAGAAACAAAGTGTGACTGAACTAAGAAGTCCACAGAGGGAGCCGCGTTGCGGCAAACTGCCGGCAGTGCCCGCATCCCCCATCCACCCCTCCGCCACCTGCTTAAGAAGAACAGTACAAGTGTTTGGGTGCCCGCCATCTATGTCACAGACCTGACTCCCGGCTGCTGCAGCCATTTGGGGAGTGAGTCAGCAGGTGAACTACCCATCTCTGTCCCTCCACCTTTTAAATAAATCTTTTTTTTTTTTTTTTTTTTTATGAAGCCACACAGGAGTTTGGCAGCTTCTGAAACAGGGTTGGATAGGAATTAGTGTATTTGCATACTACTCAGACTTTTTTGTTTTGACAAGGCAATAGATGTAACAGGTGCTGGCTTCAGAGACAAGTTTTATAAATCAAGAAAGAAAATTCTGGATCGGGCAATAATAAACTTATTTTGACTAAGTTAATCATAACCTAAAATGTATTACATTATTTCCCCAGGGGTTTCCCAGGGACCACAAATGCATGCCAATAACCTGTTTTACATGTCAGTCTCACAGACTTGGAAGGAAGGACACTTACCTACTGGCAGATTACCAGGGGACTGGTGACTTGTGGTTCTTACAAGTTGCCTCTGTTGTTCCACCCCGAGGAAAGCCTGACTTTGGGGCTGGGAGAGCTTGCTGGCCGGCAGCCTGCAGGATTCAGCAAGTGTCCTGTGGTCCGTGGCAGTCCCCTCCCACGGGCTCACTTTGTTGCGTTTGGCCGACTGCTGTGCCACCTCAGCATCCACTTGTCTCTGCTCCAGTAGATCTTGTTTCTTAACAACTACTGCTACCTGAGGAGAAATGGATGGAAAACATCCCACTGGCATTTTGCCAACCACAGTTCCTATGCAAAATCGAGGAATGAGGAAGCTGGTTCTCAAACTGCTGCACAAAACGGGTTTTCAGATGGCACTGGAATAAGAGACAGACTCTCTTCCCCCAACACATTACTGTGAAAATTGCATGTGCTGTACTAACAGTGGTGAATGGAGAGTCTTGGGCAATTAACACCTAAGATAAGAGCAATGATTCTGGGGGAGCTGTGATTGAGGCCTTAGGACTTCAGAAATCAAACTCCTGGCACTGAAACTTCTGGATCCTCTAAAGACTAAGCTCCATAAATATATAAACATTTCGGTGTTCACATAATTCCCAGTTCTAGAAAAATGCCTGTTAAATATGTGTTGAACGTATAGGCACAGACCAATGGGAATGTTTAAGGACTGGGATGGGGACAGAGTTGTCAGAGAGCTCCTGAGGAGAAACCCAAGGGGACAAGCTGGTGCTGCCATGCCTCTAGCGGCCTTTAAGCCAAGGCTGGCTGCATGTACCCTCCAGGGCAAGATCAAAGAGGGGCCTCTGGGTGGTTGGTGCCCAGTGCTTGGCCTCTCTTCCAGCAGGAGCTATGCCCTCAAGTTCTTGTGTCACCAAACTTTCATCTCCATCTGTGCTCCCTGACTTCGCCTCCTCCCCTTCCCCAATTACATAAACTTAACACCTGCTCCTCCTGCTCCTGTTTCCTGCCTGGCCAAGTCCCAGTTGTTGCAAATATTTAGGGAGTAAACCAGCAAATTAACTGTCTGCTGGTTCCCTCTAATGCTGCCTTTCAAAAAACGATTTTAAAAAGTGACAGTCACTACAGTAGCCAGACAAAATAGAATGGTGACGATGACAACAAAAAGGTAACTGTGAAGTAGGGCTGGTGTTGTGGTATACTGCGTAAAGCCGCTCTCTGAGATACCAGTATCCCATATGGGCACCAACTGAAATCCTGACTGTTCCATTTCTTAAGATTAGTTATTGGAGAGGCAGATTTACAGAGAGAAAGACCCTCTGTCCACTGGTTCACTCCTTATGGCTTTGCTGAGCCTATCTGAAGCTGGGAGCTTCTTCCAGGTCTCCCACTCAGGTGCAGGTTCCCAAGACTTTGGGCCATCCTCTACTACTGTCCCAGACCAGGAGCAGGGAGCTGGGTGGGAAGCAGAGCAGCCAGGGCATAAACCAGTGCCCATATGGTTTATGGTGGATGAAAGGCAAGGATTTAGCTACTAAGCTATCATCACACCAGGCCTGACTGCTCCATTTTTGATCCAGCTCCCCATGAATGCTCCCGAGAAACCAGCAGCAGATGGCCCAAGTGCTTGAGCTCCTGTACCCACACGGAGAACTCACATAAAACTCCCGGCTCCTGGCTGCAACATCTTCCGGCCCTAGCTGTTGCAGCCATTCGGTGAATAAGAGGCATATGTTCTCCCCCCCATCCCTCTCCGACTCTTTCACTCTGTCTTCCCTCCCTTCCTTTTTCTCTCCCTCTCCCTTCCCTTCCTCCCCTCTTCCTACTGTCTTTCAAATAAATTTTGAAAATAAGTCTGTGAAGACAGAATGGATATGATTTGGTTGCAGAATTGCTTGTGGGCGAAGAGAAATTAATACATGAAGTGGGTTCAAATCCTGTTTAACTCCTACCAGCTTTGGACATAAGTAATGGACCCACTACTTCTCTCTGCTACCTCTGTGATCTTGTGACTTATGCAAGCCTAAGATTCTGTTTCTATAAACAAGCAATGCCACCTCCCTCAATGTGGCTCCTGTGAAGACTGAAGTGAACTCTTTAAGCACAGTGCCTGGTACACAGGAAGCCACGGACAGAAACATGGCAGTGTTAGCAGTGGCTGCTTGGGGAAGTAAACCAGTGGATGGAAGATCTTCCTTTCTGTCTCTCTTCCTTTCTGTATGTCTGACTTTCAAATAAAAATTAAACCATTTTTAAAAATTTTTTTTAAAAGTACTTGGACGATGAAATAGAAATACAGCACCCCTTATGCAATGAGACCAACAGCATCTTAGAGCAAACATGATGATGCAGGAGGGACCAGCACAGTGGCACAGTGCAATCCACCGCCCCACACCACCGGCATCCCATATGGACACTGGTTCATGTCCGTGCTGCCCTACTTCTGATCCACCTCCCCACATAGGCCTGGGGAAGCAGCAGAGGATCCCTCAAGTTCTTGGACTCCTATACTCATAGGAGATCTGAAAGAAGCTCCTGGCTCCCGGCTTCATATCAGCTCAGTTCCAGCTGATGCAGTCATTTGGGGCGTGAACCAGCAGCTGGAAGATCTTTGTCTTTTCTTCTCTCTGTAAATCTGCCTTTCCAATAAAAATATTTTAAAATGTTATAGTGATAAATAGAGAATACAATTTAATAGTTTTTAAACAGTGAAACAACCCAAAGTCCAGGATATAATTTAGATAGTATTCTAAGTCCTAATGTCACGTTTTAAACATCATACCTACTTCCTTTTTGTCTTTGAACTTTCTTTAGAAGCTCCACTCTTGACACTGTACATAAGAATAAAGCCATCAGCAAATGAAAAACAATGCCTGGGCAGCTCCACGCCTCCCTGGAGGCCTGTGGTGTCACACAGGTGTAACTGCTCCTTCACTCCCTGAATGTTCCCACGGAAGCCTGCGCACTTCTTCCATTGTTTCACAGGCTTCCATCCCTGGAATTTTAAGAAGGCATCCTTTTGGGGTGAGCCTGTGTTGTTTAGTATTTTGCTCCTCTTCAGAAGTTGGCTTTCTGGGTTTCTTATTTACCACCCACAATAATCACATTTCCATTTTACCAAATTCTTATGGCTATTATTAATACTATATTTCCTCTATCACAGCCAAGGACAATAATACTATTATTAATACTAAAATACTAAATGAACAAAACTTTTTTAAGGTTTATTTAATCTTATTTAAAAGGCAGATTTGCAAAGGGAAAGAGAGACAGAGAGAAAGAGATCTTCCATTGGCTGGCTCACTCCCCAACTGGCCACAATGGCTGGAGCTGAGCCGAAGTCAGGAGCCAGGAGCTTCTCCGGGTCTCTCATGTGGGTGCAGGGTCCCAAGGCTATGAGCCATCCTCAACTACTTTCCCAAGCTGGATAAAAAGTGAGGACCCTGGGATTAGAACCCAAGGACTTGAGGGATCCTCTTCTGCTTTCCCAGGTCATAAGCAGGGAGCTGGATCAAAAGCAGAGCAGCTGGGACACGAACTAGTGCACTGTGGGATGCCAGTGTTGCAAGGCAGAGGATTAGCCTGCCAGCCCCCAAAATGCTTTTAAAAACATTCTTTTGTCATAAAAATAAAAGCAGTAACAAATTTGGCAATCTGATTTATTATTACATTCTTTTAAAATAACTGTAATAGAAATTAACATCTAGATTACAGAACTAAAGGGTGCTTGCTTTAAAAAGGAAAGCTTTTCTTTCCCTCTATCATAGCCAAGAACAGAATCTGGAAGAAATATACAGAACAACCCATATTTCCAGAACCAAATGAAGCAACTAAAGATACAAATCCAGTCTAGGTTTGAGCACCATGTTGGCACTTGCTGTGAATGTCCTGCGAGCACTTCACGCTAACCCCTCTTGTCCTCCCTCCCCACCCTTTCCCTTGTCCTCGGTCCTTCCTGCATCACTCCTCAGAGTCCTGCCTGGACAAGGAAGCAGGACAGTTACACCGGCCGCTGCACTGCTGAAGCTGCCAGGCAGTCATCGCCCTCCATTCCCCTTGGCTCACTGTCTAAACTTATGCAGCAGTTCAGGGCGCACCTAGCAAACACGTCCTTCAAATGCTACTGAAAGGTGCACTGTGTGGGCCCTGCTGCTGCTGTGCCTTGTACAGGCTGTGCCATTTATACTCCAGTCTTCTCACAGCTCTCCCTCTCCAACTTGAAAGCCAGGACTGCATTCCATCTATGCAGATATAAGGACTAACAGACTGACTGACAGACACAGAAGATGCTCAGTCAACATTTGCTAAATGAGTGAGTTCATACCTCATGTCTCATTTTTAGTCACCGTGGTTAAAAAAAAAATTATCTGAAAGGCAGAGAGCCACCTCCCACCCACTGATTCAATCCCCAAATGTCTGCCACAGCTTGGGCCAAGCTGAGAGCAGGAACTGAAGACTCACAATCCATGGATCCAAGCACTTGAACTGCCTCCTAGGGTGCACATTAACTAGAAGCAAAGCCAGGGCTCAAACCCAGGCGTCTGAACATCTCCGGCAGGATCTTCACTGCTCTGTCACATGGCCACCATCAGTTCCCTTCCTGCCCGGGATCTTTCAAAACTACATTTTACAATCACTTGGTTCATTTGTGCAACTACTTTAAACGCCTTGACCGAAAGAAACCATTCTGTGTGCACAGCAACTATTCAATAATCCTTTGTTGACAAAGGAATTAAGAAAACTAGCACTTTAAATTTTAATGAGCAGTGCAGAAGCATACAAGGTAGATAGATGTGCTATGGTCCCAGTAACCTCCTTCATATCTAAATCTGAGCTATATCCACAGGCAAAGTCATATGGGGAGCATACTAAACCCAAAGCAAAATCACACTGTTACAATCCTAAGCAATCTAGATACTATGGAATGATCTGTTCTGGATGCCTTTCATGACATGTCCTTAAGTATTAGATTTGAAAGGATAATCACATCATAATATATAGATTGGATCATGAGAAACCAAAGACTTACTTTCACTAGCATACCTCTTTATATGATGTGTTCAGTGTTTAGTCAAGGAAGATTATTCTCAAATCTGATTACGTGTGAGTGTGTCATCTTGTCATTAAATTAAGCCTGGAAGAAATTCAAGGCTATTCTAGTAAGACAAACGTTTGGGGATTTGATTTACAAGGAATTTAAAAGCAAAAAATACTAAGACTTTCCTTATGTTCTAGCCACCAAAACCCAGTGTGGTGACCTGACCCCACCCCGCCCTGTAAGAGTAGACCCTTGGCTGTCGGCTCCTCCACACGTCAGCGGACGTCTCCCCTCTCTTCTCTCCCCAGCAAGGATTGTGACCCCGCAGTAACAGCTGGTGAGCACGTGCATGCCTACACACAGAGTGCTGCATTCCCTCAGTTCTCTGCTCACAAAACCCTGGCAGGCAGGCACGCCTTTATCCCCGTGCAGCGACGAAGTCCTAAATGCAGGCTTCTCAACAAATGCCCCGGCCAGCTCCTCTCAGCGACACTCAATGCTGGAGCCCTGTCCTATGCTTACAGCTCCCAATTAGCTTCTCAATCTGTTCTTAATTTACCAGACACCTGAGCAAAACAAGAGGCCAAGCCCCTGAGAGCAGGCTGGGTGTTGGCCATGACAGGTAAGACACTTCTTGGGATACCCATCTCAGAGTCCCTGGTTCAAGCCTGGGTCTGCATCCAATTCCAGTTTCTTCTTAGCCCTGAGCCTCTTAGCTCCCCTAAGAAGGTCAGGTAGGGTTCCAGTAAACCTGGCTTCAGGCTAATTTAGCCCCAGTTGTTTAAATCATTTGAGAAGTAAACCAGTGGGTGGTAGATCTGCCTTCTCTACCTTCCAATAAAAGTACATTGAAAATTTTTTGAGAGTGGGCCTGCTGCCTAGTGGCTAAAGTCCTCACCTTGCAGGTGCCAGGATCTCACATGTGCACTGGTTTGTGTTCTGGCTGCTCTATTTCCCTTCTAGCTCCCTGCTTGTGGCCTGGTAAAAGCAACTGAGGACAGCCTTGAGACCTTACACCCAAGTGTGAGACATGGAACAAGCTTCTGACTCCTGGCTTTGGATTGGTTTAGCTCTGGCCGTTAGGACCACTTGGGGAGTTAATCAGTGAATGGAAGATCTTTCTCTCCTCTCAGTATATCTGACTTTCCAATACAAATAAAGTCTTAGAAAACTTTTTAAGAGAACATCTCAGCAGAAACTACACAAACACAAAGCAGAACACACTTCCTGGTAGTATATGAAGAGATAAGAGAGAATAACTCTAGAAGGGCAGTAGATTAATGGATTAAAAAAACAGAAGGGCAGGAAAACAAAATGAGGAAATCTCACAAGAAGCGAGACGAAAGCACTGAGACGAGAGAGGGCTGATTCATGACGTCCCACATCCAAAAAGAGTCGCAGGAAAAGAAAACAGAGACATGATCATGAGTTAAATAATCCAGAATCAGCCAACAGGCATTGAGGTGTCGAAAGGGCCCAATGACTGGCAAAGTGGCTTATCACGCTAAGCCTCTGCCTGCACCTCCTGACATCCCATATGGGCACGAGTTCACGTCTCACCTGCTCCACTTCCCACCCAGCATCCTGCGACTGCACCCGAGAGAGACCCGGAGGAGCTCCTGGCTCCAGAACTCTGGCCACTGTGGACACTGGGGAACACACAGCACTCACTCGATCTCTCTGACTTTCAAGCAAAATGAGAGAGAGAGAGGACCCTCTGACTTTCTATACAAAGGATGAAAACAGCCCTTTTTAGGACACAACACTGTAATTCTGAAATTTCAGAACATGCTTCATTGTCCATCTGTGCTGCCACAATAAAAACACTGCGACCCAGGTCATCTGTAAATGACAGAACTTCTCGGTTCTGGAGTCCAAGGTGGCGGCAGAATTTGGTGTCAGCTGTGGACTCAATTCCAAGATAACACTTTGGTGCTGCCTTCCTGGCAGAGTCAAATACCCTCACACACCGAGAGGTGGGGAGGCCAGCAGACTGCTCCCTTCAACTGCTCCTGGCGACTGCAAACTCCTTTGTAAGGGTGCTAATCCTATTAACAGGGGCACAACTCCCACAACTTAATCACCTCCCAAACACCACACATCTTAACATTATTGCACTGAGGACTAATTTAAAAAAAAAAAAGATTTATGTATTTATCTTCGAAAGGCAGAGAAGAGGAGGCACAGAAAGATCTGTCTGCTGACTCGCTCCTCAAGCAGCTGCAATGACCAGAGCTGAGCTTATCTGAAGCCAGGAGCCAGGCACTTCTTCCAGATCTCCCACATGGATGCAGGGTCCCAAGGCTCTGGGTCATACTCTACCGACTCTACCATTTTCTCAGGCAACAAGCAGAGAGCTAGAAGGGAAGTGGAGAAGCCGGGATATGAACCAGTATCCACACGAGATCCTGTCACTTAATTTTTTTTAAAGATTTATTTATTTATTGGAAAGTCAGATATACAGAGAGGAGGAGAGACAGAGAGGAAGATCTTTTGTCCGATGATTTACTCCCCAGGCGGCCACAATAGCTGGAGCTGAGCCGATCCAAAGCCAGAAGCTAGGAGCTTCTTCCAGGTCTCTCACAGAGGTGCAGCTTCCAAGGCTTTGGGCCATCCTTGACTGTTTTCCCAGGCCACAAGCAGGGAGCTGGATGGAAAATGGAGCTACTGGGATTAGAACCAGTGCCCATATGGGATCCCTGCAGTTCAAGGTGATGATTTAGCCACTAGGCTATGCTGCCGGGCCCCCTGGCACTTAATTTTAACATTAGTTGTGAAGGGGACACTCAAACCTCAACTGGGAACAAAAAGGAGAACCTGCAAAAGCTTCCATATATTCAGTAACCAGGACCCCAAACCCTTGGGGGTGAAGCAGAGGCTCAACCGGCTAGACCCCGTGTCACACCAGCATCTACTATAGGTGCCTGCTCTAGCGCTCACTGCTCCAGGTGCAGTCCAACTTCCTGCTTATGGCCTGGAAAGCAGCAGAGAACAGTAAGCCAAGTCCTTGAGCCAAGACAGCAGCAAAAACCCCTGCAGACAGGTACAGGAATGACGTGGAGTGTGTATACCAAACCCCCTTACCCGGGGGGGGGCACCACTTGAGGGTGGAGCCCACACTGGGGTGTCAGAGCACCTGCAGAAATGGCAACCTAGCCACGTGCCAAGGTCAGGGAGAACTCACACCCCACTCTCTCCAGGGGACTTCCCGTAATCTGATGCCATGAATGTGTATAACTGGTCCAACCAGGAAATTACCACTGACTTAGGATCTTGCGGGCTCTATCAAACAACAGTCTAGGTTGGCCCTTGACCTAGATTCTAGCAGGTTCTGGCAAGAAAGTCAGTCCATATTCTGCATTGAACTAGTCTAGATTGTAGAGCAAAGAGAGAACTGGGCATGAAACAGGAATAACAATGATGTGAGAATGACACAGCTTAAAGACAGCTGCTGCCTCCCCAGCCCTAGGTGCTCCGGGAGCCAAGAGCTGCAGCGAGCCTGAGCAGGCTGCGGTGCTGCCAACAGCCAGGAGCACCCTAGATGAAGGGAGGTGGCTGGGGTGGCACCAGCTGTGAAAGCCATGGAGTGAGCACAGCATGGGAGCACAAGGCTGGGACTCACTGAAAGGAGCGGTACAAATGCCCAGCCATCATCCCAGGTCACCAGGCACTGAACAAGAACAGAAAAGATTGCCCACAGATCTGTAATCAACACACTTTATAGAGAAAATCTGCGTGGACCTGGTGCAGTAGCCTAGCGGCTAAAGTCCTTGTCTAATACGCACTAGGATTTCATATGGGTGCCAGTTCTCATCCTGGTAGCCCTACTTCCCATCCAGCTCCCTGCTTGTGGCCTGGGAAGGCAGCTGACGACAGCCCAAAGTCTTGGGACCCTGTACCCACTTGGGAGACCCACAAGAGCTCCTGGCTCCTGGCTTCGGAATGGCTCACCTCCAGTCATTGTGGTCCCTTGTGGAATGAACCAGAGGACAGAAGACCTTCCTCTCTGTCTCTCCTCTTCTCTGTGTATCTGACTTTCCAATAAAAATAAACAAGAACAAAAACATTGGAAGTATCACAACATCAGACATAGATACAAATGACATAATCAAAATATTCTGCTACTGGCACAAAAACAGACATGAAGATCAATGGACCAAAACAGAAATCACAGAAATGAACCCACACATACACAATCAATTATATACATATAATTCTTATTGGAAAGGCAGATACACAGAGAAGAGGAGACACAGAAAGATCTTCCACCTACTGGTTTACTCCCCAAGCAGTTGTAACGGCCAGAGCTGAGCCAATCCAAAACCAGGTGCCAGGAGTTTGTTCCGGGTCTCCCACATGGACGCCATTCTCTGTTGCTTTCCCAGGCCACAAGCTGGGATCTGCATGGGAAGTGGAGCTGCCAGGATACAAACTGGTGCCCATATGGGATCCTGGTAGATACAAGGCAAGAATTTAGCCACTAGACTATTGCACTGGGCCCAGGTATTTTTTCAAAAGATGACATTCAAATAGACATGGAATTTAATAGATACACAAAAAAATTCTTAGACTCTGTAGCCATCAGGGGATTAAATGCAAACAACAACCACAATGAGGTTCTACCTGACATCAGTGAAAACCACTATCATATAGAAATCAGAAAACAGTAACTGTTAGTGAGGCTGTGGGCGAAAGGCACCCTAGCCCGTTGGTGGTAATGTGAACCTTCACAGTTATCATGAAAGACAGAATGGAGATTCCTCAGATACACAAACAGATCCAACATCCAATCCACCAGCCCGCTCCTGGGAGTTTATCCAAATGAAATGAAATAGGCATAAGAGTTATCCATACCTCCATGCTTATAGCAGTGCAACTCACATTAGCTATGACAAAACGAAGACCTGTCACTTTGCCTTTCACCTAAGTAAAAAATAAATTTTTAAAAAAGGAAAAACAGGAAAGCAATGGCTATTCAGGGTTTTTGAATTTTTTTCAAACATCAATAAAAGTGGACTATCATTTCTGAAAAATAACAGCATTTGTTGTCAATGATAAGTCTTGGGTGTTTAACCAAAAATTAGCATTGTATTCATTATTATGAATTTTGGTAGCTTTCCAATGCTAATGAGACTGGTGGTGATATTAACATTATTTGAAAGACCTGCTTACCAATATTTTCATAATGAACAATTCATGATGTTCAAACACATGGTTGGGCAGAAGACCCATTTAAAGTGCACGGCAGATGGGCAAAATCCAAATGTAACAGAATAAAACACTCATGGATAGAGTTTCAGATTTCACATGGTCATAATCTTTAAGCAACCACTGTTTACTGAATTCCAATGGAATACCAAAGAAAAATATTCACAATTGTCCGAACAAGTTTCAAAGCACTCTTCGTATCTTTTAAGATCTTTTTTTTTTAATTATTATTTTTGACCAGAAACACAGACTGACAGAGAAAAGGAGATACAGAAAGATCTCCCATCTGCTGGCTCACTCCCCAAGTGGCTGCAATAGCCAGGACTGAGCCAATCTGAAGCCAGAAGCCAGGAGCTTCCTCTGGGTATCCCACATGGGTGCAGGGTCCTCGACTGCTTTCCCAGGACACAAGAAGGGGGCTGGATGGGAAGTGGAGCAGTCAGGACACAAACAGGTACCTACATGGGATCCTGGTGCATGCAAGGTGAGAACTCTACTAGGCTACTGCGCCGGGCCACTCCTTATAGTTTTTCCAACAATATATCTGTGTGAATTGGATTGTCTTCATATATTTCAACTAAAACAATGTATCACTACAGAATAAAAACAAGGCAATTACACATGACGTAGCTATTTTCAGTTAGTCTGGACACTGAATTTTTAAAAATGTAAATCAATATCAAGTTTCTCACTAATACTGTATTTTGAAAGTATAATTATTTCCTCATAAAAATATGACTTTTAGCATGCAGTAAGTTTGTCACTGTTGCTTTGAAGTAAGTTTTAAAGCTTCTGTTTTAATTTCCAATAAAGCAAATTATCAAAAGCTCTAACCAAATACATAAGAACTGTTTAAAGAGGGTAAAGGGATTCTCCTATCAAATAGCTTAAGAACTTGTGGTATAGGCGTAATAATAATCACAAACAAAAGTACCGAACAAAAATGCTAAATATTACTTTGGGAAGCCAAAAAGAAGCAGGGCTCATCAAAACTGTTAAAGCAATCTGTCTCAAGGTACAGGGGTAACATGTGAAGGCCATTTCATTCTAACTCAGAATGTCCGACTTCCTTGTCAAACTGTGACCTTGGAGCCAACGATGCTATTTCACAAATAACTACTGGGCTCCAAGAATGGATACATGGACATAGTCTAGTTCTCAAAATTAGGTCATAATACACCAAATAGCAGGGCTTTTTTTTTTTTTCTCTATTTCTATACTGTAAACAGCGGTACTGGAAAGTCACGTTTGAAGCAAGACCATTCACCATAATCTAAGTCAGTGGTTCTACGACTCCTAGAGCCATTCTGTTAACACACAGGAACTGCATGCATACAACACACACATGCATGTTTGCACACACAGTCATTCTTGTTGTATCTGTTCTAACTTACAGCAAACATTGTTGGATTGCAACAACATGAAGCTATCTTTTTCTCCTTCCTTTTCTTCTGAGTTTCTGCTAACTTCTTTTCTAACCTTCAACCCCTCTGAATTACACCTCATTTTTGTATCTCATTATGCATCTTCAGTTGAGTTTAACTGACAAAAAAGCTCTAGCAACTTCCCAGAGCCTTGAGAGAACCTAGAGGAAATGACCTTACCTACAATATTGTTCCCATTGAGAAGCTGCTCCAAAAAATTGTAGCTTTTCTCCCAGATTACAATCCGCAAACCACAACCTTGCATCTCTTTCCCCTGTTCTCTTAGATCGCTGTAGAGAGGATGGAGGTTCTTTAAACCGTGTGTGCTATTTTACTTGAAAAGCAGAAGGACAAAGCCACAGAGATGCAGGAACATCTGCCTTCTGCCGCTCTGCTCCATAAACACCTGCAATATTTGGACTGGACCAGACCCAAGTCAGGATCCCGAACCCAACCCAAGAATCTGGACCCAACTTCTTGAGCTAGTATTTGGAGTGTGCCAGCAAGAAGCTGGGATCAGAAGCAGCACCAGGATTAGAACCCACACAGTAAAATTTAGGATATGGGTGTTCCAAATGGTGTCCTGTTGTGCCAAACAGGTACCCCTAAACTGTATACCACTGACATCAACCTTTTTTCATATTTAAATCTCAGCTGTAATACACAGAGGAAACTTTCAAATATTTAAACAAAACAAAACAAAACAGCGTAACTAGAGGCCAGTGTGGGAAGCAGCACACTAACCCTCCACCTATGGCATCTACATTCCAGATGGGTCCTGGATCATGTCCCAGTTGTGCCACTTCCTATCCAGCTCCCTGATGGTCTGGGAAAGTAGCAGAGGACAGCTCATGTCCTTGGGAATCCTGCTCCCAGGTGGCAGACCCAGCGGAAGCTCTTGGCTCCTGGCTGCAGACTAGCCCAGCTCTGAGGCTTGTTATCATGATATGGGGAGTGATCTTTTCCCTCTAATTCTTTCAATAAATCAATCTTTTAAAAGGACAATTTAGAGGGCCTGGTGCAGTAGCGTAGGGGCTAAAAGTCCTCGCCTTGAACACACCGGGATCCTATATGGGTGCTGGTTTAATACAATGACCCTGGCTAAACAGGACAGCACAAGTCTGTCAGAAACAGCTCCAACAAGAAAACCCAAATAAGCACTGCATCACCGGGGATGCTCATGGACTTGAATGGGACCGAACAGCAGACACCTGTGTCCTTGTGCAACACTGCTGCCTTATACATTCTGCAAACAGTAAGCTACAAGTGAACTTTCCTTAGATTCGTTTTCAAAATATGTATTTTCGGGCCCAGCAGCGTGGCCTAGTGGCTAAAGTCCTCGCCTTGAACTGCCGGGATCCCATATGGGTGCCGGTTCTAATCCCGGCAACTCCACTTCCCATCCAGCTCCCTGCTTGTGGCCTGGGAAAGCAGTCGAGGACGGCCCAAAGCTTTGGGACCCTGCACCTGTGTGGGAGACCTGGAAGAAGTTCCTGGATCCTGGCTTTGGATCGGCATAGCACCAGCCGTTGCGCTCACTTGGGGAGTGAATCATCGGATGGGAGATCTTCCTCTCTGTCTCTCCTCCTCTCTGTATATCTATCTGACTTTCCAATAAATAAATAAATAAAAATCCCATTTTCCCAGATCTGTGATAACTAATAAATACAAAAGAATGTAATTGTTATGAAATTAACATCCTGGGATTTAACTACTGGTTACAGCCTCTCTCCATTCCTGAGAACAGTAGGGTTTTTTCTTCTTCTATTTGCTACAAAGAGTTAAGCCAAGTCAAATGAAAATATGCCATTGCTGGGCCCGGCGCGGTGGCGCAAGTGGTTAAGTCCTCACCTTGCACGCCCGGGATCCCATATGGGCGCCGGTTCTAATCCCAGCAGCCCCGCTTCCCTTCCAGCTCCCTGCCTGTGGCCTGGGAAAGCAGTTGAGGACAGCCCAAAGCCTTGGGACCCTGCACCCGCGTGGGAGACCCTGAAGAGGCTCCTGGCTTCGGATCGGCATAGTATCGACCCGTTGCGCTCACTTGGGGAGTGAATCATCGGACGGAAGATCTTCCTCTCTGTCTCTCCTCTCTGTATATCCGCCTTTCCAATAAAAAATAATAAAAATAAATCTTTCAAAAAATGTAGTTAAAAAAAAAAGAAAATATGCCATTGTAAAATTAGGGCGGAAAAAAAGGGGGAGATGAGGGAGTGAGACGAGGCATCACTGCATTTCTAAATCTGTATTATGGAGTATGTGAAATGTATTCACTTTTTATAAGTAAAACTTATAAACTGAACTCTTGAAAAAATTAATATCTAATGTAACACAAACTTACACGATACTGATACATATTATAGGAAATGCTACATATAGATGCATCATTGGCTCATGCTTACATACACTGGACTTTGTAAAAACTACTAAAACCTGGTTTCTGAGCATAGTATTTCATAATTCCAAAATATAAGACACACACCTAATGTCCTTTCAAACACACAAAGGTCATTTGAGCATTGTAGCAGCCTGGCCTCGAGTCTAGTTCCTGGAGCTTAAGGCGCTCAGTGTCAATGGGCGACTTTTAGTCTCCTTCCAACACTGTCATGGAACTGGTTATCCAGAAAATTCATCAATACTGGGGTTAGCATAACGAGCACTGTGACTATTTACTTCTGTCACAGCCCCTACTCTAAGAAACTGTTGGACAACTAAATTTGATCCGTGATCAATAAACCTCATATGATGTAAATGACTAAGCCAATGTGCTTAACAGGCAAGCCCAATGCCGGCTTAAATGCAATCTGCTTTGCTTTCCAGGATAATCAATAAAGCTGCTGAAGAAATACATGACTCACGCCATCCTTCGAAAAACACTGAGCTTTGTCAACATTCTCTAAAGAGCTGTCAGACACAGCTTCCCCAAGCTGTCAGTGCTTCTGTTCACTTATTTTTATGAGTAAAACTGTTTTTTTTTATTCAACCAAATGCTGAAATCCATCACAGGGGAGGAGTTATAAAGAACTAGCATCACATGGATAGAACTTCTATCTCATGTGTTACCTACTTCAATATTATGCATGGCATGCACTACTTCGGCTTACCCGGAGACAGTATCTTACATACTAAAGGTACATTAAAAGGGCTCTACAAACATTTCAACAGAATGCAGTAAGTAGATTCTAGCTCACCAAATATTTACTGAGGCCTACCATAGAGCCCGGCGTCAGGAATAAACAAATGAGCAAAACCCAACACGATCCCCACTGCTCAAAAACCTCAATCAACTAGAAATAAAACTGATCAACTACCGATGATTTTTAATCATCCAACCGTGTAGCCCATCACCCTCAATTCCTTTCTCTCAACCTCCCCGTCTGCTCCATCAGTGAGTTATGAAATATATCCAGGGCTGTCCACCTCCCATGCCATCACTTCCTAAGTGTTCTGAGGACTGGTTTCTCACACAGACGTCTGTAACCTAACCTCTGGGTGTATGTTTCTTTACACAGGAGCAGGAATTTCACAGGTGTGATGGATCAACAACTTTTGAGAGTTTTCTGGATGATTTGGTGGGCTCAATGTAATCACAGCATCATTAAAGCAGTACCAGCTGCAGAGGAGAGCCATGAGTGAAGCTGTTACACTGTTGCAAGGTAGGAAGTCCACAGCCAAGGAAAACTGGCTGGAAACTAGAAAGGGCCGTGAGGCATTCTCCCCTAGTGCCTCCAGCTGTGTAGACCTCTTCATTTCAGCCTCCAGCAGTTAGTGACCTGCAGACTTTACATGAACTCGTTAAGGAGATGGCCAGCCAGGAAACCTGCAGTAATTCCTTAACACCACAATGAGAAATTAACACAGCCTCTTAGCTGGGATCTCTGCTTCCATCTTTTTTTGTTAGCCTCAAAGCAACAAATTCAAGTTGTCTTTCTAAAATGTGCCCCAGGCGAAGTCACCATTCAGCTCAAAACCTCCCAGTGGTTTTCATTCCGAGGTAATGTGAAATCCAACACCCACCGAGGAACTTTCACCTCGCTGCCATGCTTCCCTGCTGCTCCTGTGGGTTCTGACTTAGTCTCCCAACCCCAAGCTTAGACCTTGAGGCCTTTGCCTGAATGGTATTTGCTCAGGTAAAGCTGCCCTGGGACCGACACCGCAGCACAGAGGATTAAGCCATCACCCGCAACGCGGCCATCTCCTAGCAAAGACTCAGTTCCAGTTCTGGCTGCTTCACTTTCCATCTAGCTGCCGGGTAATGCACCTGGGAGGGCAGAGGAGCACGCCCCAAACGCTGAACCACTGCCCTACTTGTGGGAGACCCAGCTGGAGTTCCAGGCACCTTGCTTCCACCTAAGTTGGCCATTTGGTGTTATGAGTCAGAGATGGAAGCTCTCTTTCCTTCTCTCTCTCCTCTCTGCCTTTTAAGCAAATAAAACCTAAAACAAGGTAAACTTTCCCAGAACATTCCATCCAAAATTGCAGCCTGTGCCAGGTGTGCTGAGAGGTTTAAACAGGTGCGGCAGTTCACTGGCGGAGCTTTGGCCCACACCTGAAGCTCTCCCACGGCCGCTACCTTGACCAAACGCTCCGGCCGTGCAGAGTCTGTCCCCTCAACATTTCTCCTTAGCACTTAAGTCTGAACACGACACAACAGCTTACTGCCCTTTGCACAAAGCCTGGAAGTTCTGTCTGGTTCGCTGCTGCGTGTGGGACAGCGCAGGGCATTTAGGCACTTTAACCGTGGGCTTCGTGCGCCCAGGCTCCACGTGCGGACTCTTAACAAGGGATCTACAAAAGGAAAATATACAGTACCGGGAGGAGGAAAAAAAAAAAAACCGAAAAACCACCGACGCAGAGTCTCTTTAACGCTGGCCACATTCAAACATAGGATGTGGAAGGAGGTTAAAACCACACGCCAATGAACAAAAGTGAAAATATCCTCAAGACGCATCGAAGTCAGCCAACTTTTTCTCCCTAAAGAACCCGGCACGCTGCCCTTTCTTCCTGAAAAGCGCGCGTCCCTGCCAAACACGTCCTGGAAAAATAAATATTCTGCTGAAAAACGGTGCTGCCCACGTTCGCAATCCTGAGCACGGGAAGACACCCGCAGCAAGCCCGCTCCCCCTCGACCGAACGCGTCTGGACCGGGGCCCGCGGGGACCTGAGAGAGCAGCAGGTGGAAGCGCCCCGCAGCGGCTCCGCAGGTGAGCAGTCACCTGAGCCGCCGGCTTTCCCGTCCCCGACTTGCCTGCTCGGAGAGACCCCGACGTGCGCTCCGGGGGAGACCGCGCCAACTCCGAGCCGCCCGCCTCGAAGGTTCTAATTCCACAGAGCAGGGGGCGGGACAATAGAGAAGGCGGGGCCCAATCGATGCAGAACCCCGCCTCCCGGGCTCGAGGCTGGAACTACATGTCCCATGAGGCTCTGCACAGGCTCCGGTTTCCACCGGAAGGAGGATCTCCGAAGTAGGGGAGGAGCCCAAAAGGATTGTGGGAGAAAGGCTTCTTCCTTTCCGTCGGCCGGCAGCCATCAGGTAAGGCTGGGTTGGGGCTCTTCGCTTTTGCATCCGTCGCGCATCTCCCTTTGCCTCAGCCATCCAAGCTTGGGGACCCTGCGTCCTCCGAGCTTCTCTTTTCTGCTGTGCGCCTGGAGTTGGGTCTGGATGTGGAGCAGCAGGGATGTGGGGAGGCGGCGGCCTTCCGGGCGTGCGAGAGGAAAAATGTGATGGCGGCGCGAATTCAAGCTGGGCCCGAAGCTTGCAGGAAGCGCGGGGAATGAAGAACGGGAGCCGAGAGCGAGCATGGCTGCTGGGGTGGGGGCAGGCGCTTTGTCCCGGAGGGGTCGTTGGCGGCGGCGGCGGCACCTTGCGTGGCTGGGCCGTGCGGGGGACGCGGCCCTGGGCGCCGTCTCCTTCCCTCGTCCAGCTCCGCGTCCGCATCTGGCCCCGTCTGTCCCTCGCGGGGGTCCTCGCCGGGGTGGAGGTCGGGGCTGGTCCTCGCTCTGTCGGGGCCGACCATCTTAGGGTGGCTGGTGGAGACCCAGCAAGATGGACGGACGGGTAGGGAGGGACTCCGGTCATTGTCTCCCGTCTCAGGTGAGCCAGGATGGGTGCCTACAAGTACATCCAGGAGCTGTGGAGGAAGAAGCAGTCGGACGTGATGCGCTTCCTGCTGCGGGTCCGCTGCTGGCAGTACCGCCAGCTCTCGGCGCTGCACCGGGCGCCCCGGCCCACGCGGCCCGACAAGGCGCGCAGGCTGGGCTACAAGGCCAAGCAAGGTGCGTGCAGGGCTCGGGGAGGTGACCGGGAAGTGGCCGTGGGCAGATTGCAAGTCGCACCTCGCCGTGTGGTCAACGTTTAAAAAAAAAAAAACCAAACCACTTGGCTCTCATCGGGTGCGTCGGATTTCCCTTGCCATCTCTCCGTGTTGACAAGACACTTTTAGTAAAGTTTACTGTACTTTGTGTGTGTAGGTTATGTCATCTACAGGATTCGTGTGCGCCGCGGTGGCCGCAAGCGCCCCGTGCCTAAGGGTGCGACCTACGGCAAGCCCGTCCATCATGGTGTTAACCAGCTCAAGTTTGCACGGAGCCTGCAGTCTGTGGCCGAGGTGAGGAGTTTGGGAGCGGGGGGCGGTGAGTGGGGCGGGAGGCCAGCTGCGACTCTTGGGTCTGTGGGAGTTGTAATGGTCGTGATTTGTTGTTAAAGAAGGCCTTTGTTACTGGGTGCTTTATGACATGGAGTGTTGAAATGGAAGCTTTGAAAAGGCAGTCAGTTTCAACCTGAGTACCACGCCCCAAGAGTGCAGGAGATGCGTTATATCGGGTTGCAGGTCTTCTGGGTTCCTAAGCTCCCTTCTCTAGAAGGGGTCAAACTAAGATCTGTCGTCTTTATCAGAATGTTCATTATTGAAGAGATGAGAAGCTGAAGTGCTATGGCCTGCAAAGCACCTCAGAAGAGCTTGTGGCCCTCTCAGTGGTGTTAGGGAAAAGACAGAATTCTGTTGGCCACATACTAACGTGTGTTTTCGCAGAATGGATGTGTTATTCTGAGTATGTTACGTGAGTCAGCCTCCTAGCTTTGTAAAATGCTTACCCCTTAGATCCTGAATAGATCCTTAAGTAAGTAACCTCGGCCTGTGGTGTAAGGGGGAACTGGCTGCTGGAGTTTGCTGAAGGCTGACGTGGGCCTTTTTTGCTGTTCTAGGAACGAGCGGGGCGTCACTGCGGGGCTCTGCGAGTCCTGAACTCTTACTGGGTTGGTGAAGATTCCACATACAAGTTTTTTGAGGTGATCCTCATTGATCCATTCCACAAAGCTATCAGAAGAAACCCTGACACCCAATGGATCACCAAGCCCGTCCACAAGCACAGGGAGATGCGTGGGCTGACTTCTGCAGGCCGCAAGAGTCGTGGCCTTGGCAAGGGCCACAAGTTCCACCACACAATTGGTGGTTCTCGCCGTGCAGCCTGGAGAAGGCGTAACACACTCCAGCTGCACCGCTACCGCTAACACCAGTCATGTTTGTAAACCTCGTACCTAATAAACCATTTAGGACAGTCATGTCTGCTTAAAGGTGTTGTTTGTTAAAACTAGTCTGCAGGTACTTCATGGATGCTTTGTCAAATTATGAAACGTAAAAGTGCAATATTGTTGAAAGATCTAAGTGGTGTTTCTTGTTCTAATAAGATGCTTTGTCTTAGTTTTATTAGGGAGTTTCTTCAGTTGTTGAAAACATGCTGTTTGGTATAGTAGGTGTGAACTGTTCAAAAGGGGCTTGCTGAAGCCAGCCATGTAGATTGTCTCATGCATGTGATATGATCTTCCGGGAATTGGTTTAGCAAGGACAAACAATTGGATTTATG